TAATAATAAAATATATTTGTGAAAATAATTTGGAAAGAGGTGCATATTTTTAAAAGACACTCAAGTACAATTATCTTTAGAAGAATATGTCAAGAAGCATTTAGTTACAGATTATAGAAAAAAGCACTTTAATTTTAAGTTGCATTTTTTACTAATTTTCCTCAAATCTTTCAAATGTTTAATAAAATATAAAATTGATATGCAAAAAATAAGCGCATCTTCTTTTATGATAATTGAGATTCTCTTCTTTCCCCTATATATATAATTTCAGTTAAAATCTCAACTGCCTCAATTATTCCAATTCCATATTCACCAGACCTGAAAAGAAGTCACTGAACACCTTAGTTTCAATTAGTTTGGCTCTACTGATTACACCAGCTAAGAATTATGTTCTGCGTTAGTGACTCTTTGTCTCCTTTGTAATCACAGAAATTACTAAAAGTAGTAATAATACTTTTAGTAAATCATTCTACAATAGGTTTGCCAAATAACAATTGTGGAAGAAAACTCTTAAGGTAGAAGTAATCTTATCCTTTGCATAAACATTTTTCAAAGTGAATTTCTTTTTAATCAATGTTGACTTTTAGGTCCATAATTGAAATATTTGTTAATGTAGTCAACGTTAACAATCACTTTATATGTGTAAAAGGCATATTAGCAAAATAGTATGATTTAAAACAAATTTTCATTAAATTTCAGAGAAATGGTCAAATGGGAAGAGGCACAGCAGATAAGCTTCCCTGTGATTTAGTTAACAAAAAAACAAAAAAACAAAAAAACAAAAAAACAAAAAACAAAAACAAAAAAAAAGGCTAAAAAAATAAACGTAACATACATTTAAAATTACATATGGAAAGGTAAAACTGAAATGGTGTTACAGTAAAAGGTGGGCAAGTTGGTGACAAAGGCACACAACAAAATTGGCATGGCATTTCATTTCAGGGTGACAATTGTCTTTTTGACAGCAGATTAGTTTAACATTGAACATCCCACCAAAACAGTAATCCATTTCCAAGTGCATAATAATTCATTGTTGCCCTTCACCGTACATTAAATGTCACCCATCATTGTGACAGGAATATAAAAGCTATTGCACATTAGTCAGGAGCCAAGATCAAAGCTGTTAATGCAAGCACTTTGGACACGGTTTTCTGAATTTGGTTAAACCATCAAAAAAAAAAAAAAAAAAACTATGTTTAGAACATCTTTACTTCTGAGTGCCCAGAGAAATACAGAATACTTTTACAAGTGTAAGGACTCTCAGTAAGGCAATAATAGCCTCGTCAACTTGTGAGCACAGACCATGTTGGAGCCAAAACATATGTCAAAACTGTCCTGGTGTTCACAGTAATAGTAAAACCTCCAGCAGATTCTAAGGATAACTTCCTCTATGACCCAGTGCAGTTATAAATAGCATTCCAATGTTCTGAAAAAATGCAAAGCAAGTAAATGCAAAAGTACATAAGAAATTTGTATATTCTTTTTTTACTTAAAAAAACTAATCTTATGTATTTGACACATTAAATATTGGTTTAATGTGCTATTCTTCCTAAGAAGGCCAGGTTAGTCAATGTTGATTACCTTTTTCTTACTTTTTCCTATTTTGACCATATCCATTTGTTCATTTAATAATGTAAGAAATTTCTGTTAATGATATCTTTACTACAAAATTTAATATAGTATTATTTTTCTTTTCCAGAGTTTATTTGCTTTTTTTTTTAATTCCAACCTTAGAATAAAATATGCAATGTTCTCATATACTCATTGGATAATTATTAAGGTTACATCAATCCTGTTGGAGGGAAACTAGGGTACTATTATTCCCTTATTTTAAGAATGGTCCTTAGTTATTCAACTCCATATAACAAACTACCAAGAACCATAAACCAAGATTTACATGTATTTCAGAACAGTTCTGTTTGCCTTACGGACAATTATAGCTAAAATATTTTAAAAATTGCTAATATTATGGGAATTTAAATTGACTCACCATACAAATAGTTTCTATTGTATCAATAGCATCTGTTCTTTCTTAAAGAAAATATTTGAAGCAAGGTGAAAAATACCTCTCATTGTTAGTGTAAAGGGTGGTTTCCCTGACCAGTTTTTATACGATTAACTGACATTTTTATACTAATATACCTAGCTCAAAGAAAAAAGAGTAGAAAGAGGGAAGTGTTTAGGGGCAAATACAATAGCTACAAGCCCATAACGGGCAAGATTTCTTTCTAATCCTCTGCCAGCTAAGAGCTATTGCTAGGACACCTGGATAAGGCCATTCTATGTCTAGAACGCAGTATCCCAGGTTCATCTTTACTCCTAAACTTATTTAGCTTCTTCAGATAAGCATGCTGGTTATGTCATTATGCTATAATCAATAATGCACTGTTTGCAAGGGAACATAGATTATAAAACCATACCCAAGAAAAACAAATAAAACCATCTATCTTCAATACTGATTTAAAAATTTAGAGCATGTGTTAAGTATTTTTTAGGATTATCTTTTCCATATAAAATGATAATAGCGATGGGAAATTTTACAAAGTTATCAGTCACAATCAACTTTTAAATCCAAGTTTTAAAAACATAAATTCTAACAATTTGATCAGTTCTTAATTTATCATAAAATTAGTATTGTTAATACTGTGATATAGCAGATGATTCAATAAACCTAAAATCTGGCATTCTAATGATAACTAACAATTTGCAGAATTGTTATTTTTTTTATCATTTGTGCATTTCTCTCCACTGAAATATGATACAAGTAATTTTTAAATATTTAAATATATTTTAAATTTTATAATTTTAAATATATATATTTAAATATGGCATTCATAAAAATAGGTAAATTTTTACTTATTTAGGTAAATGTTTAGGTAAATATTTTATAAATTTCATTCAAGGCCAAGTTCTAAATTACCTTCTAAAAAGGTAATTAAGTTCTAAAATTTTAAATAGGAATTTTTTCTTTATTTGCACATCATGAACTTCTTCCATTGTAGCAAGAATTCAGTACCATGTCAGAATGGATTTTAATTATACAAATTCATTTGATTTGGAGGTTTAGTTTAGAATTTAAAAGGACTCTTAGAAATTTTCTTTTAATCTAAGATTTTACTACATTTACAAAAACTTGGCAATCTTCAAAGTATTTAATATTGAGAATTGAACAAAATATTCTGAGAAAAATCTATAGTTTATTTTTATTTATATATTATTTTACCAAATATGTCTAATATTATTTATTATTTAATATAGAATATATAACTATTTCTTATATAATAGAAACAGGTGTTACTTGCAGATTTTTTTCTATACTTTGTTTTTTTTTGTTTTTGTTTTTTTATACTTTGCAGTATTTATTTTTTTGTTGTCCTGTGGACAGGTTTTAGTGATCTTTAGCCATTGAAGAGTTTAAACTGAAATCCTTGAACTCATATGTATCCTGAATACATATGAAACAAGATAATTCATGTTAGTCACTATAAAAATGATATACTTTGACCAAAGATGCTTAAAAATGAGAAGGCTATTTTATTTTCAAAAGACATAGAAAAAACTAAAGCTCAAAGCTTAAGAATTTGATACTCTAATTTCTCCATTTCAGGAACTGAAAATTCAAATAAAATTGTTAACAATTTGTACTGTACAGCTATAGAAGTTATATGTATAAATGATTCCAATGCACATTTTCAGTCAAAGGTAAGTGATAATTGTCTGAAGGACTCAAGTATTCATAGTGAACCAATTAGGTGAAATATACATTTGTATAATATTTATCTGTAAATAAATAAAATATTTGTGTATAACTATAAAAAGAAATGTAAAAATATATAAGAATATTATGCTACTTCTATAACTAATTTTATTTTCTTTTTTATTGTGTAAACAAAATGTTTTTACTGCTGGAAAAATTGATATCGCTTCATTGTAAAATTAATAAGTTCAAAGAAAGATAAATATCCTTAGTGTTAACTTAATTGGCAGTACCTATTTAATGTTAACTTAAAAATACATATTTAGCTGAAACCGGTTTGGCTCAGTGGATAGAGTGTTGGCCTGCGGACCAAAAGGTCCAGGTTCGATTCTGGTCAAGGGTTGAGGGTGCATCCCCAGAAGGAGGTATGCAGGAGGCAGCTGATCGATGTTTCTCTCTCATTGATGTTTCTAACTATCTCTCTCCATTCCTTTCTGTAAAAAAAATAAATAAAATATGTATAAAAATACATATTTAATTTTAATGATAGAAGAAAGCACATTTATAGTTTTACATTATCAAACTTATCAACATGAAAGATCTGTAGTTGATTTCTAACTCATGTTGGATTTAGAGCTATTTTTCTGATATGCACTAAAATATAAAAATTCAACGTTTATAATGAATATGTGACTTTCAAGTTCATTTCAAGTTCATAATGTTCTGAGTCCTGAGGGATGGTTTTATGTTCTTAATGAAGACAAAAGAAAACTAAATCATATTGAAATTATCTAGTTGTTAAAAATGTGATAGTAAGGTAAGTACAAATGAGAAATTATTAAATTTCCACCTCCAAAATAACAATATAGAAGCAAAAGCCACCTCAACTAAGCTATATCGTGGATTGAAAAGACCAAAAAGCTTCCTTTTAAATTTTACCATTTTTTTATGAATGATTTAATAATTCAAATTAGTAAAACATACTAATATTTTGCTGTCTGATTCAAGAGAAATCTTCAGAATGAAGAAATTATTTTTATATCCTGGTAATTAGGACTTCTTTTAGATTTTGATGAAAAAGAGTAAACTCTACCACAATTATAGCTTATTGACACAACCAGCATTCTTTCTGCCCCAAAAGATATCCTAGAACATTTTAATAAGTTATATGACATTTTAAAGCTCATTATTCTTCAGCACCCCATTGGGAAGTAAAAAGAAAACTTATTGTGACTTTTGACAATTATTAGTTAGAAAAAAGAGGTAACAATTGCCAAAAAAATCACAAAAGCGAGCATGTTACCTGGCTATGACAAAGAGCACACAACTGACACCCAAGTAAGCCAGCAGAATATACATCCAGATATCAGGGGAGAGAGGATTCAGGAAGGAGAAGACGCCTGGGTTTGTACCGTTGGGCTTGCGGTACAAAATACTTATTCCAAGTGTCATAAAGGGCTTGGAAAAGTCGATGACCTTCTCTCGAACGTAGGTAATAGCCAGTGGAGCAACTGCAAGGTCAGCTTTCTGTAGAGAGAAACATAAAAAAGAAAAAGAAAAATTCTAAGTCACAAGAAAGAAGCCAGTAACCAAAGTAAAACAAAGACTTTACATTTGACAATTGTCTCAGTAAAGATTACATTAACATGTAAAACATTCCTCACTGCTTTCCTCTGCTACTCATTTCTACGTGCATCTGGATTAGCACACCAAGATTTATTGCAAGTATAAAGGGAAAGAAAAAAACTTTATGATGAAAATGCTGAAGAAACAATTGTACCTTCAGTACCGGAATTATTACACCACTAAAATATACTGACTTTAAATCTCAACTTCAAAAGTCATTTAATATCCTATATAACGTAATATGCAAATTGCCCCCTCCACTAGGAGTTTGACCAGGGGTGGGGCCAGCTGGCCAACAGCCATCGGCCCCTCCCTCGGGCCAGCCTATCTGATCAGACCCAATAAGGGTGGGCCGGTCTGACTCCACCCACGCACCAATTCATGTTCCTGGCCTCTAGTCAATTATAATTTTGCAAATATGTTGGTCAAATTCTAAAAGCTTATAATAATAGCTACCTAAAATCATTTAGCTGATAATAAACATCTTTTGTCTTAACAAGAAAAAGTGCAGTTGAAAGCATTTGGTCTTTAAATAGTTAACATTGTGAAATCATATTTTAATGTGATGTTGTTTACTGTCCCTGAGTTTTCTTTCTATCCCTCTAATTTGTTTTTATATTATTTAATGAAAATCCTTGCAGCCTTGCCTAAATCTAAATCGCATTAGGAAATGAGTTTTTCAATTTTCACGAAGTCTCTAATTTTCCACGGTAGCTTAAATATGTTAAATTACTAATGTTTTTCACTCATTATGTTATAACCATCTGTCAGGGATGAACTTAAGCTCTAATATATGAAAGAAATAATTAAAATATTTTAAAATAACAAAGGCATCTATTCCATCTATGATGAGAAATTATATTTCTACTTTCCATTTATTTTTGTAAACATACTGAGTTTTCAGACAATATAGAAATGCTCATGGTAGAGAGCTAAAGAAAGACATATCAAAGAATAAAAGTGGGCCTCTATTTTTTCCTTGGGTCAGAAATTGTTGGAGGAATTGTAGAAGGAACTTTCCTAAGTTTCTAGGTTTGTTAATACTGTTACTTTGGGTACATATTTGTGTGCATTCCTGAGTGTGTAGCAGAAAGAGGAACCACTCATATGCAATAAAAAGAATTGAGCTATCAAGCCATCAAAGACATGGGAGAACCTTAAATGCTATGTGACTAAGTGAAAGCTATCAGTCTGTAAAAGTTTTATAGAGAATGGTTCCAACTACATGACATTTTGGAAAAGGCCAAACCATGGAGAGTAAAAAGACCTGTGGTTGCCAAAGTTTCAAGACAACAGGGAAAGAATGAATAGAAGGAACATATAACATTTTTAGGGCAGTGAAACTATTCTGCTAAAACGCCAATGGTGGGCACATAACACTCTACCCATAAAACTGAGTATCACAAAGAATGGATTCTAACGTAAACTATAGATGTCAGCCAATAATAATGTATAAATGGTGGTCATCAAATGTAACAAAAGTACTACGCTAATCGAAGCAGTTAATAAGAGAAACTAGAGAGAGGAGGGTGGTAGGATGGGAGAAGGTACATGGAAATTCTATTATTGCACAATTTTTATGTAAACCTAAAACCTCTCTAAAGCATGTCTATTAATTTAAAAAAAACTACAATTGGTTGTTTTAACAACATCCCCAATCAGTGGGATTTAATGAGTTATGTGGATTAATTAATGAGAACTTAGTTGTCATTAGTAATAGCAAAACACATAAACTTATTAAACATTAATTGTTAAAAATAATCAGCCTCTAATTGCACATCAAACATGTTTTTTAAATCCATGTAAACAATCTTCAGGATTATCTTGCAGCAGAAAATATGAGTATTTACTTATACATAATAGCATTCTCCATAAATAAGATCTAACTTCTTTACAAGTCTACCAATAATATAATCATCTTGAAATCTAATCAAAATGTCATTATAATAAAGATGTTTATAATGATAGATGTGGTATTTTCTCATCAAAATTCATATTATTAAAGGCTGAGCAATGGAAGAAAAGAGCCTGATGGTAAAATGAAATGATTCAAGAAGTTTTTAATCTTTGTAGATACAGGTTATGACTTTATGAAAATGTAGTCAGTAATTGATTTTATTATTTTAAGGAATAAAGTAATGTTGTATTAGTAGAAGCTAGGGGTCAAAATTGTTTTAAAATCTATTTCAGCAAAAGAAACATAAATGTACGTAAATTGTTATGTCATATGACTAGTACAAAGAAAAGGGAAAGCTCACCTCTACCTGACTGAGTTAGCAAAGGATTTACCAAATCATTCTACCTATTTTACTAGTGGTGCAGCTTCAAGAAAGAGTCTGAGCTGACAAAGGTTTGAATTGGTAGGGTGGCAGCAGCAGGCAAAAGAAATATCAAAGTAGTAGTAGGCAGCATTAAATGTGGCCATTAGGGGTCAAGACTGAGTTATATTCTTTGACCAAATCACTTCCATTAATCTTCAAAGCAGCTCTGCCAGATTTGTAATGTGACTTCCTTTTTCTAGGTGAAAAAGCAGTGGTGAGAGTTTTAAAAAGCATGGCGCCCAGACAGCATTGCTTAGTGGTCACTATTGGATTTTAGTCAGGACACATGCCAGGGTTGCAGGCTCAATCCCCATTGTGGGGGTCATTTGAGAGGCGGCTGATATTCTATCATCATTGATGTTTCTCTCTCTCCATCTCCCTTCCTCTAGCAGAAAATCAATACAAATATATTTTAAAATGTATTGATCCAAAGATGACTTAAGTATACTCATTTCCCACTATTTTTTTTGTATATTCATTCAAATGCATCATAACCATTTGTTCTGCTACACTACTTCTGTGTTTCCCAGCCCCAAATAATCTTTCCTTTTTGTCACTATACAAATTCTATGAGACACATCTCTGTGGTTTTTTTTTTTTTTCTTGTGAACCTTTCCTGAACATTCTATAAATATTAATTTCTTCTAAATGTATTTTATTGCCTTTGTAAACTTAAACATGTAACTGAACCTGTTAACAATACTTTATGTTATTGCTGATTTGTTTTCACATTTAACTCAACTAATATGATCTGAAAGGTTTGAATGTATATATCGTTGTAATTGTCTTGTTTCTGTTTCTATAAGAGTGTAATCTCTTTGACACCTACAGGCATTCCCTTCAATCAAAGCACAGAGCTCTGAACTAAAGGGAATGGCAAAGTATTTCTCCCTGGAAATTTCACAAAGATGTCAAGGAAGTAACTACATTATTAATTTAATAAGTATTGATGTAATATTCTATCATTATATGTGAAACTCTTCCAAATTGTCTTATGCAGGCCTATGATCATAACCATTTTAACATCCTTTAGGCCCTAGACAAAATCTGACACTTAGGAACTGCTTAGTAAATATTTGCTGAATACAGTTTCCATTTAATTTACTAAAATTTTCTAAGAGAATCACTCAGATAATTTTTACATTAAACTCTTTTTCTGACCTTACTCTAGAAGTAAGATTTATTGGCGCAGTAATACAATTTCTAGTGAACTAACTGTCTAGGGAAAACAAAATAATTCTTTTTATGGAGTTAGATAGCTAATGGCAATCATTTGATTAAAGTCTCATTGAAAAATGATAACTTTACATTTTGATCTGTTATTCAATTCTCTAATACAAAAATAGATAAAAGCATATCTTAATGAATAGCACAGTAACTCCAAATTTGATCATATTGAGAACATTTATGAAGTCCTAATAATCAGAGAACATAATAACATTATTTTTGATCTGGTCCAGGAAACCACTCATGTATCCTTCTGTAAGTTCTTATAATTTAACAAAAACCCAGTTCTATGTATTGTTTTCTTTCCTATTATGTTTTGAAATCCTTAAGTGGGTAAAATAATTAAGGTAGAAACTGCATATGGATAAATTGGAAATATTTTAACTCAAGATATTTAACCAGGTTAATTATACATATTAATATCACTTGTATGTGAGATCACACCTTCCTAAACTCTTTGCAATATATAATGTGAACAAATGCTTTGCCTCTGTGTGCACTTTTAGGAAACATAGTTCACTCTTTGTACGTATGGCAAACAATCTCTAGCACTATCTACCTAGTCACATCTTTATACCTCCTGGACTCTTAACAAGACCTCCTAAATGGTTTGCTTTCATTCTTGTCCAACTAGAGTCTGTTCTTCGGGCCAGCTCACTCCCAAATGCCCTCCCCCGCAGGCTCGGTCGCCCCCAACTACCCTCCTCTGCCAGCCCAATCGCTCACAACTGCCCTTCCCTGCCTGCCTGATTGCCCACAACTGCCCTCCCCTGTCACGACCTGCCTCCTTCGTTGGACCCACCTCCTCCACTCAAGGTGGTGGAGACAGCGAGACAGGCTTCCTCCATGCCACACAGAACTGCAGGACCCTCAGGCCTCACCAGGAAGCAACCACTGGGCCCCGCCTCCACAGTGCACATGGCCATCTTGTGGTGGCCCTCTTGTGATAACGTCATGTGTGAGGGCACAAGGGCCACCTAGGCTTTCATTAGTATATGTATAGTGATCCTTATATTTAAACCTACATGAAAAATAAGGAAATATACACAATACTATTCAAACTTTAAAATATGTATTTATCAAGCATGTACTTTAGAAGAGATACATGATAGATGGCTTCTTTGAAACAAATTTATATGCAAAGATTCAAAATAAAAATTAGAAGAAATTTAAAATATTACTTAAAAAGTCAGATTATTTATTGAAACCATGAAACTTTCACAGACTTTCTTGTTACTGATTTAAGCTGTTATTTCTTCAATATATTTTCTGCTAAGCCTTTTTTCATTTCTCCATTTAAATGCTATGGGCACACAACCAGTGGACCAAGAAACAATTACTAGCACTATGATG